ATCATAACCGTTTAAAAACAGAGTCTATTGGTATAAAGACGATGTAATTTGTTTAGATTCAAGTCTCCCCACATGTTGTAAATATAAGTAAAATAAACTATGAAATGAGTTTCATGTAGAGATTGGTCCTGATGCTGAGGCGAAGTTGCTGAGTGACCTGGTTAAAATGGCATGCTCCTCGGCCCCATTTACCCCTGACCTCACTGACGAGGGGTGAGAATTCCGACACTGACCTGCTTGGCCGAGTGTCTTGGGAAATGGCCCACGAGTCAGAACATGAGCTCCCAGGGGCCCGGAGACCATGTGTTCCACGACCTTCCTGGGGCCTCCTCCAGCCTCACACCCCATAAATCTGAATTTGATGAGGACAGGCAATGATTGGAGATGCTCCCCACTGAGGCGATGCCAAGAGCCCTGCCCGCGAGGGTCTGTCAGCGCCTGTGATGAAGTAATCGGAGGGGGACAGCTGCATCTGTCTTGGTAAACAGTTGAACTCAGTCAACACCCTCATCAGCAACCAGCACAGAAGAGGAGCTGCCTGCGAGGCTGCCTCGCTCTGGGGCCAGCACAAACGGCAGCGAGAAGGAACCAGCTCCTGCAACCCCTGTCACACCCGGGGAAGCCAGTGCCCAGAGAGCTGAAGTGGTTTGCCTGAATTTATACATCTAGTGTGCAGCAAAACTCAACCCTAGGACAACAGTCTCCCGAATCCTGTTCTGCTGCTCCTGGTCGAGAACAAGTCTGGAAGAACAAGTCACAACCCCTCTAGGCCTGCCGTGGGGCTGCCTGAGAGACCCCAGGGGTCAGGAGGGTTCCCAAAGTCACTCTGGCCAATATCCTGCCTCTGCAAAGGAGCTTGGCCCCTGAATGCAGGTGACACGTTGGGTGCAAAGAGTCTTAGATTTGGACTCTTTGGTTTGCACCATGACTGAGGCACCTGGCTCTTTCTGAGATGCTGTTTCTCTGTTGAGTGGAGAGAATAATTTATGGCTCACTAGATCTGAGATTTTCTTTTAAATCGCTGAATCCCCTAGTTTCTAGTAGAAATCCCTCAGTTTCTAATACTTTCTTGACCAAAAATATTTGTTAAGTGAATCCTGTCTGCTTGAGAGTGTTCTGATGGAGTTCACACGCTCCCAAGAAAGCACATGGAGAGTGGTATAGTCAGAGCGATTCTTCGGCTCCAGACCTTGCTGTGTGGGGCAGGTGCCAGGGTGGGAGTCGACGTCATGCCACACACAAGAGTGGGTGGGGGGAGAGGGGGGGAAAAGTTGGACTTCTTACCTTGGGGTCTTGAGGGGGCTTAATGAATGCTGAGAGCTGGCCCCCCAGGCCAGGCCGGGCACTGTGGTTTCCTATTTCCTCTGGCAAATCACTTAATCTCACTGAACTTCAGTTTCTTCATCTGTGAAACGATAACAATCATTTCTCCCTTACTGGGAGGTGGGGAAGATTAGGAGAGATAATACACTTTGTATCTTGTCAAGTTCAATGACAATGTGAGCCATTATTACTCCATTGAAAAATGACTGTTAATGCAGAAAGAACCATTTAAGCTGACACTTGTGACAGACCTGTTTTTTCCAGGGTTGTTCAGGAGGATTCAGTGCTTCCTGGCAAACGCCCTCAGCCTGTGGCTGCACCTGCACGTCCAGGCAGCGCCCAGCTGTCTGTTGCACACGACGTCATCGGGGTCTGCTCTGCGGAATTCCTGGCTGCACCTGGTCACGCTCATTCCCACAAGGGGGAGACAGTGGAGCGCTGCATCCCCAAGGAACAAGCATAGAGATGTGCGCCATTTCCCTCCCTGCCCTCTCCCTCTTTTCCTCCTGGTGGGCCCACCAAATCACTTTGGAAGATCCTGTGGGGACAGACTGCCAGAAGGTGCATAAGGTGCATGCTCCTTGCTGCCCGTTTTCTTCCTCCACCCCTATTCCTCCTCCCCCTTCTGCTCTTTCTTCCCTCCTTCTCTTCTTTCTTCCTTCCTTCCTAACGTGAACATTTTAATCAAGATGGTGCCTCTCCGAGGTCTCCACACTGTCACTGCAATTTGCTCTGGTTCACTGGGTGAATTTTCTTTTCCCTTCTAGTGGGATACAGAATTATTTCCATGATAGGAGCCGACTGGTCTGGAAAGGCCTCTACACAAAGGGCCCTATGAAGAAAGGAAACAGCTGGCTGAAAAGAGAGAAGGGATTTGAGGAATTGAAATTCCTTGTGATATTGGACTTAAATGTGGAAAATTCACTGCTCTGCATTGTTCAAATGCCTCTGAATTAGAGCAGAAGGGGTATCAGTTAATTTGTTAACTCTCGGTAGGAATTTGTGACCCAGAGCTTTACAGGAGTTTTTTCTGACTGATACAATCAATGTCCATTATGCTGGGCCTTGGTCTACACTTATCTCTTCCTTTATAGTCTGGACTGACCCTGTCGATTCCTCAGCTGGTCATCTCTTTGCCTTCAGAAAGGAGACATTCAAACCACTCCAGAGAAGGAGTTGCCTCCAGTTATTTTCACCCATGTCTCCAGGTGTAAGGACTGGAGACATCCTTGTGAAGTAGTGTGGTGTATTGGGAAGAGCCCAGGACGAGACTAGAAGCCTGGGTTTCAGTCTTACCTCGCTCGCTCACCTGCTGGTGGCCCAGGAGCAATTACTTCTCCCTCTGACCCTCCTAGTCCTCAGCCATGAAGTGAGGGATAAGGCTGTAACCATTTCCCTGAGGTCACTGGGGCACCACTGTACAGTTCCAAGCGTGGTTGTGATGGTCAGGTTTGTAGGAGATGTGGATGCAGAGAGTTGTGGCAGGTGCTGTGTGGCTGGCAGAGTGAATGAGTCGACTCTATTCACAGTATGTCTTCAGGGGTGCTGCTGCGGTCTGTCTGTCTGTCTCTCTGTTAAATGACTCCCCTACCGTCGGATGAGGCTAAAGCTCTTTAAGCTTAAGGCTTAAATCATCAGATACCATCTCTGGGAGGGTAACGTGTTGGCTTTCATCAGTTGCCAACACCAGGAGCCCTCAATGGAGGCAATGCCATCTCCTAGGAGGCTCTTTAGAAATTGGTTGCAACTTTTTTTCCTTCTAGTACAGTTATACCTGAGCATTGACCTACTGAAATACATATGTTTGTATGCATTTTGTCTCTTTCACATTTAGTTGAGCCTTTCATTGTTTGTATATTATGAGTATAGGTAAGCATAGGCAGATAGGCTGATTTGTTATAAAAAGCAAGTGTTGGACCACCTCACACCCATTAGGATGGCTATTGTCAAAAAAAAAAAAAAAGAAAGCAAAGAAAAGAACAAGTGTTGACAAAGATGTGGAGAAACTGGAACTTGTGCCCTGTTGGTGAGAACGCAAAATGATGTGGCTGCTACGGAAAAGAGTATGGCAGTTTATTAAAAAATAAAATATAATTACCATATGACTCAGTGATTCTACTTTGGGGTATATATCCAAAAGAATTGAAGTCAGAATCTTGAAAAGATATTTGTACACTCATGTTCATAGCAGCATTATTCACACTAGCCAAAAGTTGGGAGCAACCCAGGTGTCCATCGACTGGTGACTGGATAAGCAAAATGTGGTACATACATACAATGGTAGATCACTCAGCCTTAAGCGGAAGGAAATTCTGACATATGCTACAACACTGGTGAACCTTGAGGACATTATTCTAAGTGAAATAAGCCAGTTACAAAAAGACAAATGCTTATGATTCCACCTGTACGAGGCTCCTAGAGTGGTCAAATTCGTAGAGACAGAAAATAGCGAGAGTAGTTGCCAGGGGCTGGGGGAGTGGGAAGTTGTTGTTTAATGGGAACAGAGATTCAGTTTTGTAAGATGAAAGAGTTCTGGAGATTAATTGCGCGACAATGTGAATCTTCTTAAGACTAATGAACTGTAAAATGGTTAAGAGGCAAAATAAAAAAATGAGTAAGAGATTAAAAAAAAAAAAGCAGTGTTTAGTCTGATGGAGATAAGAACCACAGACTCAGTCCTCAGTGGAAATCAGTCTACGAATCTTTCCCCGGAGGAGGAAGAGAAAAGGCAGGAGCATCCTGGGTTCTGAGGACAGTCAGGTGGGGCCCGGCTGGATGAGACAGTTGACGCCCTCCAACTTCACTAGTTTCACCATCTGGGCTGCGAAAGGCGGCTGGAGGTTCACTTTCTGGGAGAGGGCTTAAGGATGACTATATTTCTACTTCGATTGTTAATGTGAGGCCCTGAGACAAGAGTGTGAAAGAGATGGAGGTTGGAGATAACAGCCCTGTGTTAGTCTTCTCTGGCTCGTAAGATGTTTTAGCACTTCAGGAACCTGGGTCTTATTTACCTAGCTTGATCCAATAGAAGACAAGTCTCTTTAAACCTTTTTTAGTCATTTTAGTCTATTCAACTCAGACATTTTGACAGGCAGCCTGGCACTCAGTTCAAGAGTACTACACTTGTCTCATGGTGCTTTGCAGTCTAGCAGCCCCAGCGACAACATCTTAGCTTGGATTCCTAGAGAGCAGAGTCTGAATCAAAAGTAAATCAAATAAGCTAACTTAGTTGGGAAGCATGAATTCTTCAAAGAGACAGGGTTGTGAGACAGGGATGGAGGGAAGAGAAAATATGAAGATGTATTCTCGTGTTGGTCACTACTCAATACCCGGGACAGTTTATCCAGAAGGAGGAAGGAGAGACATGTATCCACCAGCTCCTGTGTCCTGTTGGTCAAAAGTTCACCCAATGTGGGGCTGGCCCTGTGGCCGAGTGGTTGGGTTCGCGCGCTCTGCTGCAGGTGGCCCAGTGTTTCACTGGTTCGAATCCTGGGCGCGGACATGGTGCTGCTCGTCAGGCCACGCTGGGGCGGCGTCCCACATGCCACAACTAGAAGGAACCACAACGAAGAATATACAACTATGTACCGGGGGCTTTGGGGAGAAAAGGAAAAAAATAAAATCTTTACAAAAAAAAAAAGTTCACCCAATGTGCATCACCTCTCTTGGACTTTCAGGTTGAATATGTACAGTTACCTAGCAGGTCCCGGGTGTTTCACATCCCAGATGGCCATATCCAAGATGGGAGCAGAGAGGACACAGCAGAAGTGTGAGGTGAGGGCCCTTGGGTTGTACCTGCATGACATCAGTTGCCTTTTCCACAGAACAAATGGCCAAGGGCTAGAGAGATAGGTGACACTGGGAGACTCTGAGGTGGCTCAACAAATAAGAATGACTGATTCTATAAATAAAAGGGAAAATTGGGAAGTTCCACATGGATGTTTTTTTGTTTTACTGTAACCCTATCATATTATAATACATAAATTACATTCTGCAATTCAGCTGCCCGTATTTTTTTAAACTCTTAAATGCGTTTATTTATACATGCTTTCCTATGCAAGAGTTTCACCTCTGCCTCCTGGAACTGTTAAGTACGCATGTGGGACTACATCATCCCTGTTACCAACCCTGCCACTCTAATTGCCCCTCATGCCCTCCATCCAACTGAGTGCAGCCCTGATTGGAAATGTTCTGGGTCCTGGCTTCTAAACCTCCTTTCTCACAGCCTTTTTCTGCTGCTTGCTCCACAGTGGGACTCCTGTCACCAGACGTGGGATCCGCACGTTCACCGTCTCTTCTATGGATGTACCCAGTATAAGACCACTGCTGCTGTCGTTTGATCTCCTTTCTCTCATCCTTTCAGCATGACTTTGATCTATTTTTTAGAGTTTCACTCTCTAATAGATTGGTTCTAGGAAATTTTGTTTTTCCATTCTTAAGATGTTTGGCGAGTTTTCTCTTCTCACTCCCTCTAACCACCCACCTTTTCCCTCTGATCATTCAGCTGTGTCAGTCCTACTTTTCTACACTTCTTACCAACTTTGCAATCTTTGTCCTTAATAACTACTTCTGTTTTACCATTTCCTTTCTTAGGCATCACCTGTAAATGGGTGCCCTGAAGCGGGTTACAAACCATTGGCATCTCTCACTCATTGTCTCTTATTTGCAGTCTTCTGAGGATCTTTACTCTGTCACTCACGTGTGTGTTGAGCAACTTCCAGAAGGGCTGATCTGGGAATCATGCCCAGGTGACTCAAAAGTGTTCAAGAAGGTGTATATGGGTAAGTGTGTCATCACCTGTTATGTCTAAGAGCCTTGGTGCGTGCCTGGACGCCAAAACCACTTGCAGTTGATTCTTGGATTATTAATTTAGCCTGAAAATGAAGAAAGGCTGTCTCACCCTTGGTATAATTAATTTAGCTATTTAGTATTTACTATATACCAGGCATTATTCTAGATGCTTTCTATAAATTCATGATATCGTTATTTCTAAAGAACAACAAAAGGAGATAGCTATTTTTAGTTCCCATTTATAGGCTGGGAAATCAAGGATTAGAGGAGTTAAATAGCTTTCCCAAATTCTCACAGCTAGTGAGTGGCAGAATAAGCGTCCAAATCTACCTTGTGTGAGGATCTCCTTGCTGTGTAGCCTCGCCCATTAATCTGGGGAAGGGATCACATTAGAGCAGCTCCTGTGGCTGCTCCTGGGTCACCTGGAGCAGGTAGAGTTCATCCTTGAACCATCAGTTGTTTTCTTCAGCCCCCAACTTTGAGACAAAGTCCTCAGGAAGAAACTCAAGCTTCAATTTGGAAATGAGCAAGACCATCAGGCATTTGCTCTTGGCACGGACATACCAGCTCTTTGGGGTCTAGTTCAGCTTACTAACCCTTTGCTTTAAGTGGAGAAGGCTGAGGAGCCACAGAAGCTCTGGGGCTCCACTCCAGGAGAGAGCCATCCTCAGAGAAGAGGCTTCTCTGCTCTAGGAGGATGAGCTTCAGGAGACGTTGGTGCTTCTCTTTACAATGTTCTCTTAGTACAGAGACTTTGGCAAGAGCAGTGTCCTGCCAGAGTGGAGAAGGTGTTCAGCAGAAGCAAGTTATCTCCAGCTCCAAGTGGGCATTAGCTTCATCACAGACAAAATCTGGAATTAGAATGCCAGCCCCGACCCTCCCCGCTAGCCACTAAGGTGCAATGAATTAAGCTACTTTTATCTAGTAATCTGTGCCCAGCACTGGGCTATGCATTGTGGGTAAAATAAATGAAGAATTCTAATAACAGGGTCCCTGTTTGCGATTTATCCAATATGTTTTCGTTCTCCCTTCTTTTCTTTTGTCCCCCCCCCTCTTTTTTCCTCCCTCCCACCCTCTTTGCCTCCTTCACTCCGTGCAGAAAGGATGAGAACTTAAATGCACAAAGAGAAACTCTTACAGATTTTGTAAGCTCACTCAGTAGCTAGATTTGCTTAATAAACTTACTCTAAGATATTGGGGGTTTGTGAGTGATAACTGATCACACCCTTTAAAGATTTCTGAGTTAGAAACCAATTAAGAAAATACAATTGAGCAGATGGGTATCAAAATGTCATTTTTATTACAGATGAAGCTGAATTTGAGTAACTGGTTGAGACACACAGCTTTCATTGGGCTGTCTGTTAGCTCCCTGCTTCCTAAATATCTTGGTAAAATTATGGTTTGCAGAGTGGACATGCCACATATCACTGTGAGAAGAGTGGGGCCAAAGAAAGAGAAAAGGAGAAAGACTACAATATGCTTAGTTGTGAATACACTAACTCCACCCAGAGACGTGCCCAGGTAGGGCCTGGTTAAAGCTGGAGAGAAAGGCTGATCTAGTACTCAGTAGCTGGCCTATTACTCAGCATGAAAACGTGAAGCAAGGAGAACCAAAGTTGGCCTCTCAGGCAGGAGAATTCTCCAGTTGGTCTATTTCAGTTAACTTGGAAAGTACTTCTTCAGAAGATACATCAATAATTTAAGAAATCAGAAAGAGAGTTAGTACCTCCATGTTGACCAGGGAAGAAAGAAAGACAATTAAGAAAGAACTTCTACTACATACAAAGATGTGAAAGTCTGATTCCCGCCCCTAAGACTGCCCAGTGGGGGAGAGGATAAGATCATCAACCATCATCTACAGATAGAACTCCAGGTCTCGTTTAATGCCAGTTAAAGAAAGTTAAAAATCTGAGCAAAACCAGAGACCCTTTAATGTCTCACTAGTGTTTCCACTTTGATGCTCTCAATGTTATGTTCTCAGCACACTTTGTAAATAGCCAGTACAGGTTACTAACTTACAACCTTTAGTCCTCTCCTCCCCGAGGACCACTAGGACTCGCCTTCACCTGAGTGTCAAAGACTGACTCCCACCTCTTACAGCCTCCAAGGGGGTCTTAGGTTATAAATCTGTAAGAAAAACCCCCCCCCCCCCCCCGCCCCGATTTCATTTTCTTCCAAAATACAGATTTTCAGCCCTTGGCAAAGCTATTTCCAGCTTATTTTGTGGTCTTTGCCCTCACAACAGGGGTCTCTGCCAGCAAGAGCACTGAGTTTCATTTGCCAACATCTTCATTCAGAAAATAAAAATAGTACCCTAGTAGTCCTCGGAACTCTGGTAAATCTTATCAACACCAGCTCCTCTGGCTGGTATGTTCCTATTCTGGAACCTCGGCTCCAACTTTCAACTGGATGGTCTCCATCTTCACCCTCCCTGGAGCAGGAGAGTTCTTCCAGTTTATAGAGACTGTGGTGGCTTAGAGGCGGACATTGGAATCCCAGACGGATGCTCCTTGGAGGCTCCTTTACAGACTATTCTCTGAATAGAGCAACTCCATGTGCAGGAAACCAGAGAGCAGCAGGGGGTTTCTGACGGAAAGGCTCTGGGTGATGACAGGAGTCCCGTCTTTCAGAAGGGCCGCTAACCGCACCCCTCGCAGTGTTTGCCTACCATCCTTGAAGTCCCGGACTTGAAAGGGGTCCCCAGAGGCATCTGCCTCCCCGTTCCTCCTCCAACCTGCCTCAGAGGGACAGATGTTCTTGATCTTCTCAGATGTTCTAAAACCTTCTCTCTTAAGCCATTTTTGTCATTTCCATGAGGAAATCACTTTTGATGCCAAACTGTCTTTAGAAATCATGTGGTTTTAAAGCCTGGGCATTTAGGCAACCTATCAGAGACAGGATCAGGAAAGCTTCAAGGAAAATAAATTTCCTCTGACCCATTTGGCGGGGCTGTCCTGATCTGCACTAGTAATTACAAAGCAATGAACCCCAAAAGTAAACAGCCAGAATTCTTATTCAATGGAGGTTTTTTCCCCCTTTAAACTACGCTTTAAGAAGGCCAGTAGATGCTGGGTCAACCAAATCAGACGGAGAAAGACAAATACCAAATGATGATTCACTCATATGCGGAATCTAAAAACAAAGCAAATCAAAAACAAACTCCTAGAAGCAGACAACAGATTGGGGGTCACCTGAGGGGAAGGGGGTGGGAGGAGGGAGGAAAAGCTAAAAGGGTCCCTTATATGGTACGGACGGAAACTAGACTTTTGGTGGTGAGCACGCCGTGGTACACACTCATGTTGAATTATAATGTTGTACACCTGAAACCTACACAATATTATAAACCAATGTTATCTCTCAATAAAAATATAATAATAAATAAATGAAAAGAATTTTAAAAGGGCCTGTAGAACACTAGAAAACAAGCTTTCTTCAACTATCTGCTCAATGTTTTCAGCTAGATTCCTTTAGTTTGTATATCTCCCTCTCAAGCAATCCCTCAGTCCTTTTTATCTCTAGTTCAGCTCTAGTCGCCACAGGCAGCCTCCTAATGTTGCTCTCTTTATGCCACATTTTCCCTGGTGAGGTCCTCAAGGCCATTCGTGTTTTGCTTTTCCTCGTAACACCTACGAGCAAGCACTTGGAACAGCTGCTTGAATCCAGCAAGCACTTGAAAACAAATGCTTATTAAACTGAACTGTGGAATTAATATTTGGTTTTGACTTAAAATAAAACAGCATGTATTTTCCATGGGAAAGGCATATCCAGCCCAATTTCTGCGCTCACCCCCAGCATCATGAGAACTGATGCTCAGCATGGTGATCTCCTTCGAGATGCTTCACCGTCAGAGAAAGATTCAGTGGGGTCCACGGTCCCTCAGGCAAAGCACTGGAAGAGCAGGGTGTGGGCGAGTTTGAGAGACCATGTGGTCCAGTCCTCTCTTTTGACAGATTTGAAAACTGAGGCTGTGCGAGGCAAAATGAGTCAGCTCAGATCACCCAGCTGGTCAGTGGAGAATCAGCGAATCAGGTCCTCTTCTCCTAACTCTTAGCTGAATGCTCTTTCTGCTATACAATGATATTAGCTCTTAATCAAGGAAAAATTTTTCAACATGAGTTAGAAGGAGAGAAACTTTTGGCTACTAAAAAAATTAAACTCTCCAGGATGTCTCACTCCCTCAATTACTAAAATTATTCAAAATTATACTCTTTTAACATTTTTAATCACAGATGTTAACAGTAAAGCTAAAAAATAACTCCAGCACTGAATACACGTATTAGATATACTCCATGACAGCCACGCCTCTCAAGCATAATGACTAATCGAGTGAAAGGCTGCTCGAACCCGAACGTGGGCCTGATCCTTTCCCACTGTAACAGGATTATAAGGTACTTAACTTCTGCTACCACTATTGGAACCAGCTTTGCCTTCTCCCCACAGAATCCCTTTTAGGAATAGCTGAGGGTCACTGGGTCTTATCATTTATCACTTGTTTCAAGGGCTTTGACTTTGATCTGGAGACAATTTGGTCTGTTTGAAGGAGGAATAAGCTTTTTGTCTAATCGGGGGAACAAAGTACAGAATCCAGCAGCCGGAAGTCCTGGGTTTATTTGTCTTAGACAAACCCAGGAATTCATCATCACTTCAGGGGAAACAAAGAAGAGGTTTCAGGAAGCCCTCCCCAGCTGTCGAGTACTCAATTAAAAAAAAGAAAGAAAGAGCCTGCCAGGCTGAAGAAGAGCTGATGACCCAGCTCCCAGCAGAGCAGGGAAGCGGGCGCTCCCCACTGTCAGCCGGGAGGTGAGAACCTTCCTCTCCCAGGTCACAGCTTGGAGAACCACGGCCTGGTCTGGGCCTCTGATCTTCATGGACTTTTGAAGTTCTGCAAGGACTTAATTTAGCATGAGGGAGGAGAGTATAGGCTGTCGGACTGACACCTGATTGCCCTTCTGAGTATGGTTTGAGGAGCCTAAATCTTGGAGGAATGAGA